GGCCTTGGTCGCCTACGCCTTTCCAAGGTGTTTCAGCGACCTACGGGGGCCTTGGAAAGTGACTTCCCAGAGGTATGTGAGTATTTTGTCTGTTCTGAGTCCAGGGGTGTTTGTATTTTGTCCGTTCTTAGATTCAGTTTTACTCAATTTGCTGTGCTTTCAACTTCTGCATATTTTGTTGGTGGTTTCGTTTTTTTTTGCTGAGTTCATCTTGTCCTGGTCTAGATAGCTTTTGCTTTTGGTTCTGTGCAAGCAGGCATAGGTTCTTTCTGTTCGAACCTCTGGCACATATCGTTCAATGTTTTGGCCCAGCTTGTCTTGTTTGTGGCTGGCCCTGTGTTTGTGTCTTCATGCCAGAACTGCTTTTCTTTCCAAGTCCTTGTTGCTGAGACAGCAGGGAAGCGCGTGGACTTAGGTAAGACCCACACAACTCATTTTCGGGCCTGGGTGACTTAGCAGCATGGGCTCCTTCACAGGCCATCGGATCTTGATTCAATTGGACGGCCCAGGAGAGAGGCCGGGCTTGTTGGTGGCCATCCCAGTAGTATATAGGAGGGGCCAGCCCAGTGGCAGGCAGGTCGTCTGCCACCAGGCTGCGAGTGCAGGTAGAGCAGCCAGTGGTAGAGGTAGGGGAGCCCGGCGGTGAGAAGTTGAGAGCTGTGTAGAGATTAGGTGAGATCAGTCGTGGAGTAGAGGAGACCACTCACCTGCTGCCATATCTTGGAGGTCTGCTACCAGCCACCAGCGGCTCAAGGCTCTGATTTTCACCAGTCAGTAGAGGGAGGGGAGACTTCTATACCTTTTCTTATCCTCCATCTCTTCTTCTTCCTCCTCTTGTGTGTGTGTGTGTGTGTGTGTGTGTGTGTGTGTGTGTGTGTGTGTGTGTGTGTGTGTGTGAGAGAGAGAGAGAGAGAGAGAGAGAGAGACTTCACATTGGTACATTGGGAGCCAGGCTCCCTGATTCGAGTTCTGAGAGAGAGAGAAGAGACTTCACATTGGTACATTGAGAGCCAGGCTCCCTGATTCGAAACAGTCAATTCAAATATAGAAGCATGCTCAAAAAGTCAATGATGAATGATTTTGGCTGCTTGCACTCAGGCCGCCATGCCTGACTCAGCCTCGAAGGTTCTTGCTGCAGCTCTCCCCACTTGGGGCCTTCTGCGCTCTTCCACCATAGCTATGGTGGGGAGCTGGGTGCTCCTCCTGCCCCAAGTGCTGCTCTTGCAGCTCCGCCGGTCGCTTCAGCAGCGTGTCGCCAAACTTTCACGCCAACAAATGAGGAGCACTTCGCTCCTCCCAGAGATATAGCGACCTGCTTGCCTCTTGGGCGGTGACTTCCAGGCCGCTCGGCCTCCCAAGCAACCGGTACCCCTTTTCGGAGGGAAACATCATTGCAGACTCTGATATTGCCCGTACAGGCCCTAGACTCAGGTTACTTGGACTGGTACCGGCCTATACCTAGCCTACACTACTGGGCCTCAAAAATGCCCGTACAGGCTTCTTCTGCTCGGCCTCGAGTACCCGACACATCTCCCTTTTCATGCGATGGTACCATCCTACCTGCTACTCGAGTGTTTTTCCATGCTGCTCTAAGTACCGCGGGCCTCTCCCCGCCAGTGTTTCCCTGCTGCAATCCTTCACGGTCACGGCCTCAGGTAAGTACCGGCCCTGCAGGGCCCTCAGCAAGCAAGTACCATTCCAGTCACACACACTCAAGACGGCAAGCACTCAGACAGGCACACAGACCAGCAAGCACACACACACAGACTTTGAAAACTCAGCAGGGCAGGTGAAACCCAGCAAGACATTCGTTCCAGGGGCGAAACTAAGAAATCAGCTGTGTTCTCAGTCCGTGTTTGTGCAAGTCCTTACACTTCTTGTTTTCTTTTGTCGTTTCTTGCTGTGCTGAAAGGTGCATGGGACGTTTGCGACAGCAGGGTCAGATGGGGCATACAACTTCTGGGACAAAGACAGCAAGCAGAGGCTGAAGGTAATCCTGCGAGTTCGTGCGCTATTTCTGAAATATCTCGCTCTTTCAAAATAAATCTTTTGTAGTATTCAGAGAGAGTATGCTGTGTGAAATTGCAATATAAACAACTTGTGGCTGAGAGTCATCTCAAAATTCCTCCTTAATTTTGAAGATTAAAAATAAAATAGGCTCCCAAAGCCGTCAAGAATCAAGATAGAACCTCTGCAAACCTCTCGAAACCCATTATACCTCCCACCCCTTCCCTGTGGGTATCTCATCACCGATATGAAAGGTGAGTCCGGACAAGCTAAGAGTGCAGCCATTTTTGAAATGAGGCAGTTGAAGAAGGCAGGAACTTTTTCTGATAGCTAGCCGACTCTTGTTGCTAACTGGCAGGTGGTGGGTGGTATGCTCTGTGGTGGTGGTGGACTGTGCAGGCGATGCAGCGATGCCCTCAGCCGATCCCATGCAGCACATTCAATAACGATGGAACTATTTTTGCATATGCGGTAAGCAGCAGGGTGGAGGCATATAATAATGATCAGAACATCCTTCTGCCATATTTATCTAGGCAGACATCGTTTCTTCTCTTTTGTTCTCCCTTTTGTTCTCCCTTTTGTTCTCCCTTTTGTGTTAAAACAGCACTACCCCTGAAGGTGAACGGAGCCTATGGCGGTATACGTGGAAGCCGCAGGTACGTTCAGCCCACACTGTATTTGAGGAGGTACTGGAGGGGTTGTGCAAAATTCTGAATGCCGCAAGTTTGGTGGTTTTCAGTTCTAATCTAGCAGCAGCCGCAGCAGCAGTAATTCTGAGAGCAATCTGCTGCTGCTGCGGTCAAAGGGGATAGAGGTTGGAGTTTGATGCCCACTTTGCTTGATTTATTCTCTGACAGGTCCTCGTCACTGTGTTCTCTTCAGCCATCGATGAACTGGGTGCCCTGTGACGACTCATACCCCAGTGATGAGGTTGGTGACGCATGAGCCGAGCAGGTATCCTTGGCCAGCGCGGTTGCATGTATGCTGTAACTACTGAGTGGTTGAATGTTTACATGTGGGTGGGAAACGTAGAGTGATAGAGATGTTCTTCCCAATTTAGACTGTTGGCATGATGCTTTGACAACCAAGAACAGATGCTGTACCAGATGGTGCTACCACCAAAACAAAATCTTTTTAAAGGAGGTAGCACCTAACATTATTTGCATTCATCTGATTCCAGCAGAGTTTGAACTCATTACCTGTTTGCAATGATCTGACCACTGGGACGCTTAAACTCTGCTGATTTGCCAGGATACGACTGATAATACAATTCCGTCTGATTAGCTTAGACTCTGCTGTACCAGCTTATGACAGTGATTAGACACTGCTATAGGCCAGAGAAGGCATGTGTTGCTCTCACGGTTCGGCACTGCTGTAATAATTGCAAAGGTAATCCATTGTGGCTCCAACCCGGGACGTATGATTTTTAGGAGAGTGTTGAGTGCACCGTAGCGTCGTAGGGGAGTGTTTAGAAGGAAAACACATTGAAGTATTTCTGAATGCTTCCAATTCTGAATCAAATTCAATCAATTCTACATTCTAAAGCAAGCAGCAGGCCAAATGCAACGCGGCCTGGTGGGCCCAAGGAAAATGAGGCCCACAGACTGTCTTGTGCCAGACCCTGGTGCGAAAAGAGAAAGCGTTGCACCACGTTTCATTTTGCTGTGCTCTCCACAGAGTGCCCTGCACTAGGGACCAGTCTGCATTGCGTGCCGTTTCACTTTGCTGTTCTTTTTTTTTTTTTTTTTGTGAGTTCTGCACAGATGAGAAGGTTCCAGCTTAAATGGAAAATTCTTGCCATCTTCGCCTCTCTGCTTCTTGGCATTGTTGTTGTTCAGTCAAAAGGAGAGTGTAATGAACCCTGTCAAACAGAAAGCTCGTCACGTCGAAATACAAGATGTCTCAGCGCAAGTCCAGTGTCTCCAATAATCAAGAATGTGATCACAGTACAATGTCTGTAACCAAGGAACGAAGGTGAGAGGTGGGAGAACAGACTTAGAGGGTGGAAGAGAATGTAGCCATCAATGTCATCGAAGATGGTACTCCCTTACATCCCACTCCTCCTCCTGGAATCCCCTCTGTCCACGTCAGCAAACAGTCCCAAAGGCAGTCTGACAAGAACCGATCACCACGTGCCACGTCGGCACAGATCCCTATGAAGACGTCACAGCAGCGCTCAGTGAGGACAACGTCAATCAGGTAAGCTTTCTCTCGCTCACAACCAATGTCACAGCCCTGACCTGTCGATATTCCAATCTGTGTAGAAGAGTGTGGCATGCGCCACATCAGCAATCAAGAATCTGGCTGGCACCAAGAGCAGAGAAGGCACCAGCATGCAACGCAACAGTCTCGCATTGTCGCCACAAAAAATGCCAGCTTAGAGCCAGCGAAGTGCCAACGTCCAGCCAGCGTCCCAGCAAGTGCAAGACTGAATGTCGAGTCCAGGGGCTGGGTCAATATGTAGAGTTGACCAGCCTCAGGTCTACCGTGTGGGAAGGCTCAGATCGATCCTTGGGCGAAGGCCAGGATCTCGTACAGTTACAGATTTCCACTTGGACATCTTTCTGCCCAGATACCTGCAAAGACCCAAATGTGTATGTCTGATCCTTGGCCAGGACCGGGTCCGTACAGCCTTTGACTCGTGAGCCTCGATTCCAATTTAGAGTTGACTTGGTCAACTGTAAGGCGCAAGGCCTCTGATGCTTTTTTCCTTAGGCCCTTCCTCGTTGACCTGTGGGGTTGTAGGCCCGCTGCTCGGCCTTTAGGCCGTCGGGTCGGCCTGTGACCGTTGACATCAGCATATTTGGGTTGGATTGTTACATTCCTGCCGTCCTAGTTTTCGAGTTCCATCGCAGAAATTTTAGCTTCCTTTTAATCCACGTTCATCTGCATAGACAATATCGGGAGCAGTAGGTAAAAATTCTTTCTTGCTGAAACATCTAGCTTCAGACGGAGGTTGTGATTTGAACTTTGCCTTGAACTGCTTCTGCGGCCTTCCTCTGCCACCTATAGAAAAATATTCATGCTCTAGTATCTTTTCAACCTCATATCCTCCATTTATCGAGGGAGGAAACATGGATGGCCGGTTAGGAAAGTCGCGGCCTTCTACATATGGCAATAACTTGGAGGCGTGAAAGACGGGATATGTCTGAGGTGTGGGGGTACAATGGTACATCTATTCTGTAGAATCGGTACGAAGGTCCATCAATATCCCCCATCACCTTGAGAACTTCCCGGGGTCCATAATGGACAGGTAGCAATTTTTGAGATACATTCTCCTCCAAGGAAAATTCTTTAGACTTAACCCAAACAAGATCACCTTCTTGAAACTATGATGGCCGACGATGCTTGTTGCCCTGTTCAATCATTTGTAGTTGGGCTTTCTGAAAATTTTCCTTCACCTTCTTCATATCCTCTTCTTCATATAAAATTATGAATTCTCGTGTTTTCGTGGGTAGCCGTTGGATCTGGTCCCGGGTTAGAGCATCAATGGGACGCCGTGGCTTCCAACCTTTGTGAAGTGCATTCAATGTTCTCCTAGTGACGATGTGAACACTGTTGTTGTATGCACTCACAATCTTTGGTAAGTTCTCATCCCAATCTATCTGATCTGGCCGCATATACATTCGCAAAAGTTGTTGGCACAAACGATTCATTTGTTCAGTTTGCCCATTCGTCTTAGGTTGTCTACCTGACAGCATGGTCAATTGGGTGTCATTAGCTTCGATCAACTTTTGCTATTGTTGGCCAGTGAACCGTACATCCCGATCAGAGACGATGTTTTTTTGAAATCCATATTCCAAAACCCATCGCATCTGGAACTTCTGGATGACGAGTTCCGTTCTAGCTTCGACCGGTAAAGGAACAAACATAGCATACTTAGAGAATCGATGCACAATGGCCATTACTTGACTGTTGCCATTCTGACTCTTGGTGAGACTCATGAAGTCGATCGAGATGGACTTACCTGGCTCACTTGGAATAGGTAGTGGTTGCAATAGTCCCAATCGATTTTCATGCGAGGGCTTGTTCCTTTGGCAAACAAGGTAAGTTTGCACATAGGTTAGCACATCCTCATTTATTCCTTTCCATTCAAAGCGTTCTCTTACATTAGCATACGTCTTCTTAAATCCGAAGTGTCCTTCAATATAATGACATTCCCCAATAATCATACTTTTAATTTGTTCTTTGTTTGGAATGCAAAGTCTTTCTTCGGTTTTGTCGATAAAGAAGAGTAAACCATTAGTCATTCTGTATTCAGGGAAGAGTTCAAGGTTCCTTTGTAAGTCCCAGTGATAGGATTCCAAATCGGACCATTCGCATAACCCTTTCGGATTTGATCTTTGAGCTCATTCCCAATATCAAGGTAAGAGACAATCGTTCCAAATTGTCTGGACAAAGCATCCGCAACGATGTTGGGCATTCCTTTAATAGTTTTTATTTTAAAGTCAAACGTATTAATGAATGCGGACCATCTAACTAACTTGTTGGAGAGTCGTGGTTGAGTTTTGATCCACTTCAAAGTTGAGTGGTCTGAGTAGACAGTGAAGCATCTCCCAAGCAAGTAGTATTTCCATGTGTCCAACGCGGCAACTAAGGCATACAATTCACTTTCATATGTGGAGTTGACCACCTTGTCTGACGGAAGATGTTTGGACATAAACTGAACGGGTATATATCCCTCGTTGTCATCTTGTTGTAGCACAGCCCCAATCCCATATTGACTAGCATCAATAGTAATAATGAAAGAGAGAGAAGGATCAACAAATTTCAAGACAAGATAGTGAGTTAGTACATGTTTGAACTTCGTAAATGCAGACTCACAATCTTTGTCTTATAACCAAGGTTTTTCTTTCTTAAATCAGCAGTACTTGACCCAACTATCGTCTGTGGCGCTTTCCCGTTAACGCGCCACGCCTTTAGGGCTTCGGGGTACCGGACCACAATGGCTAGAAACACCAATAATTTTTTTTTTGAAACGGTACCCCGACGCTTTGGCAAAAATTGGTGCAGGGGCATTCTAGGCGCAACTATCAGTGAGGAGTTTCTTACAAACTTCCTATAGTAACTAGCAAGTCCTAGAAAAGATCTTAATTCAATGACAGTCTTAGGTCTGGGCCAATCTCTAATTGTTGTTATCTTTTTCTCTTCAGGCCTTTATCCTTCTTTGTTCACACTGTGTCCAGGGTATAGTACCTCAGGTTTGACAAACTCAGATTTCTTAGGATTCCGTTTGTAATTGCCCTCTCGCAACTTCTGTAGAACCATTCGCAAGTGTTTCTCATATTCCTCTAGTGTTTTACTATATAAGAGGATGTTATCGAGATACATTCCTACGAACTGGTGCAACCCTTGATGAAATAACTCATTCATCGATCTTTGAAAAGTAGCAAGTGCGTTCATCGGTCTGAAAGGCATAACCACAAACTCAGTATCCATGCCTGGTTCAGAAGATGGTCTTGTGTTGATCT